AGGTGTTGGTGGGTGCACTGGAGTGCAGTAAAGTGGTTACCGCGTGAGGGCAAGTGAGGCTCATATAAAGGACAGTTGGTTACAGCGAAAAACAGTGTGGCTGGTAAGTGTATATCGATACTGCCCCTAACGATGTTACCACGAGGTTATTCATTTTTCCGAATATCAGCTTGGATGCCTATTGGTATTAGAGACAAAGTGAAAAGAACTTTTGTTTTGTGACGGTTTCATCATAACTAACAAAGCAAACCCAAACTCGGCATACCTAGTTCTACTAGTCCAGGTGTTACAGTGTTAGTTACCGAAGTACACCTTCAGGTCACATCAGCAAATCCGGAAGTAAGGACTCATCATAACTAACAAAACGAGCCCAAACTCAGCACACCCAGTTCTGAGTTTGGGCTCAGTCCAGGAGTTCCACTAGTAATCCCGAATTACATTTTGAGGTCACTCCATCAGGACCGGAGGTAAGGTCTCATATACCTACCAATTTTGTAAACGCGTCCTTAAAAATCTTGATTATGAAGATGTAGAAAACATGTTAACTGGTTTATGGTAAACACACACACACACACACACACACACACACGCACACAAACACGCAAGCGCGCGCAAATATGCACACATGCGCACACTCACAAACGCATACACACACACTTACACACGCACACTGCCGCACACACACGCACACACACAAACACAACAGTGCACACATGCACACACGCACACCCATTGACACACACACACGTACACATACGCACACGCACACATATGCACACAAACACACACACATACACACACACGCGCGCACACATATGCACACAAACAAACACACACACACACACACACACACACACACACACACGCACGCAAACACGCCCTCAGACGAATACCTTATGTCGCCGTTGCCACCACTTCCGCTACAAGAAAGGGCGTTGTCGAGTAATTCGTTAAAAAAGTCGTTTATTTCGACCACAAGGATCATAGTAAAGTAAAGTAAAGTAAAGTTACAGCCTATATACGTCCCACTGCTGGGCACAGGCCTCCGCTCATTTATGAGAGGGTTTTAGGGCAAGGCATTGACCGCCGCCCTGCCCAATGCGTATTGGCATACTTCACATGTCTTTGAAATAATTTTTTTCTTATTTCTCGGACATGCAGGTTTCCTCACGATTTTTTCCTTCACCGACGAGCACGTGGTAAATCAGCACTTAAATTGCAATTAACAATTTCATTGGTGCCGGCTGGGATCGAACCCGGTTCGCTCGGGTATTGTGAAATTTACAGCGAGCGCTAACCATCTGAGCTACGACGGCTACAAGGATCATAGATGTTAGTAATAATACAAACTTAAAACTATTTATCTAATTTTAAAACTATATACATATAAGACAGGCCCAATTAGTCAGCACGTGCACCATATGACAATGGTTCAGGTACTGACTTGTCAGAAAATGCCCTCAGGATACCATTGGAACTGGCCCGCACCCTACGCACCAGGGATGTGCATCGTTTACGCATGGTGGTGTAGAAACAATCCACACGCGCATCCGCGAAAATACCCGGCGCATTACAATAACGAGGTAGACCAAACAGCACCCTGAATGCATTACATAGCACGCATTTAATCTGTAGCTTGTACCGCCAAAGATACGAAACGGCAACGTCGCGGCTGCATACAGCCAATCTGATCGTTTATCTTATCGTTTGCTGTGCTCTGATTGGCTCATTTAAATCGGATCAACATTTTCCGTAACCATCGCAAGGTGGATTTGTATATCGGATCAACTTCGGCCGACGCTAGCAAACAGTCTCTTGAGTGCAGATGTTGATCCGGTCGGAGCCACATTAGTTGCCAGAGATGCATATTGGATCAACAAAAGGCGCCGGATTAACATGCGTTTTCGGATCAACAAAGTGCTCGCGTGAAGTCGCGTCTGATCAACATTTAGTGGTTTGGATGAATTATGTATGAAGGAGTTAGACTTGGAGAATATATGGCAAAATGTAAAGAAAGGTTTAGTGGATGCAGCTACCGAAGTATGTGGTGTTAGTAAGAGAAATAATGAAAGGAAAAATAATACGTTATGGTGGGATGATGAGATACGTATGGAAGTTGAAGCAAAGAAGAGAGCATGGCTAGATTTACTAGCAACAAAGGCTGCTAATTCCAGTGGTACGAATGGTGATATTGAAAGAAGAAAGGCAGTCTTTAGACATCTTAATAAGAGAGTAAAAGAAGTAGTTGAAAGAAAAAAGCAAGAAAGAACGGATAAGAATGATAGAAGAATATCGGATAACTTCCAGGCAAATATTAAAATGTTCTGGAAACTTGTAAAAACTGCCAGGGGACATTCAAAACAGCCTATGATGAATGCTATAAGAAACGAGAATGGCTATATTCTGAATGATGAAATTTTGAGTTTAAAGAGATGGAAGGAATATTTTGAAAGCGTGTTTATGAGTGAGGAGACAACGTGTGTACTAAGTGAAGTAGAAACACCGAAAGAAGAGGAAAGAGGTAGCGAGATAAGTATAGATGAAATAATGAAAGCAATGAAAAGCATGAAAGCAGGTAAGGCTGCCGGATTTGATAGAGTATCACTCGAAATGCTAAGGGCTGGAGAGGAAGTGGTGGCAGGCCTGCTGCACACCTTGTTTAATTTATGCTGGGAACTGAAGCGGGTACCGCTAGACTGGTGCAAAGCCGTGATAGTCCCAGTATATAAAGGAAGAGGGTCGCAGTAGGACTGTAAGAACTACCGTGGCATCAGCCTTCTTAGCATTGTGGGAAAACTGTATGCTAAGGTACTGATTGAAAGGGTCATGAAATAAACTGATGGAAAAATTTGGGATGTGCAAGCGGGATTTAGAAAGGGAATGGGATGTACAGATCAAGTCTTTTCCATGCGCATGATCGCGGAGAAGTTTCTGGGCAAAAACCAAGGTCAGACAGGGCTGTGTGGCTTCCCCGTGGCTGTTCAACCTATTTATGGACAGTTGTTTGCAAAATTTGAAAGTTGAAGAATGCGGATTAAGAATGGGTGAGTTAACCGTCAAATGCCTTTTGTACGCCGATGATCAAGTTATTCTTGCGTCGTCGGCGGCCGAGTTGCAAATGATGGTTACATTAATGAACGGATTATTAAAAGAAAGGGGTATGAAAGTGAACGCAAGTAAGACGAAGGTTATGGTTTTTGAAAGAGAAGAAGTAAAACGATTTGTGTAATAAGAATAGAAGGGGAGTTGATCGAGCAAGTAGATGAGTTTGTATATTTGGGTTGTGTATTTAGCAGGGATGGGAGATATGATAAGGAAATAGAACGACGAGTGAATGCGGGAAATAGAGTAAATGGGGCCTTGCACTCTATTGTGAAGAGTCAAAATGTGTCGAAAAAGGCACGTATGGCAATTCACAATGCTGTGTTGGTCCCTACTTTAACCTATGGTAGTGAAAGTTGGGTGTGGCAGAAGAAGCACGAGAGTAGAATAAACGCAGTATAAATGCGGTCGTTAAGGAGTATGTTAGGGCTGAATCTGAATAACAGGGTAAGAAATTGTGTAATAAGAGAAGAGTGTGGTTTTCAAGATGATGTGACCAGGATTAAGAAAGGAATGCTTCGGTGGTTTGGCCATGTGGAAAGAATGAATGAGGAAAGAGTGACAAAGAAAATTTACGGTGCAGAAGTGAATGGCAGAGTCGGAAAGGGACGTCCTAGGCGAAAATTTATCGACCAAATTGGCGATTTATTGAAAACTGGCCAAATTAGGAGTACCCTTAACCGACGAACATGTCACTCATTTGGTGCAACAATGACGTAATTACACTCTTTTTGAAAAACAAGTTAAATATGTCAAAATGTGCGGAAAGACTATTTACATCGGATGAAACATCGACAGAATTGAATTTGTGGTGATTTGTCGCGAGATGGCGCGAGTGTCTTTGTAGAATTAAGTAAAATGGCGCCATTTCTGTTGCAACAACGTCTGGATGGCAGGTTGCGCGGGGCGTCCCGCTGAGTGTAGTTGTGTTTGGGAGCTACAACGACTTAAAAGTATTTATGACATTTAATCCGATAAATTTTGTTGCAACAATGCCTTAATTGAGTAATTGTGGCGTTGTTGCTCCAAAAATAGTGAGTTCTTGGAGAAACAATAACAAAATTGCGTAATTAAGTCAATGTTTCTCCAACTAAAGTATCTTCTTGGTGAAACAACGACAGAATTTGTAAATATGTCATTATAGCTCCAAATATGGTATTTTTTTAAAGATCAATGACAAAATTGAGTAATTACGTCGTTTTTTCTCCAGATAAATTATTAAACTGCTGAAACGATGTCAGAATTGTGTAATTACGTCCTTATTACTGCAAATAAAGTATGTTCTTTTTTGAAAATAGACGGAATTACGTAACTGTGTCATTGTTATTCCAGTACGATTAGGTATATAATTATATAATTATAATTTTGACATTTTGACAGTGAGAAAAAGTATGACTAGGAGATAGTTAAATGTACTAAATAATAAGCCTATAATAACTAATACTACTTAGTTAATTAAATTAATTTAAACTTTCAGTTAAGAACATAATTAATGATGGATAACCGTGCAAGACGATTGGTGAACTACTGTACAATGGAAGGGGAAAGTACCACCATTTGCAAAAACAAATGCTTCAGAAGTTAATAAGCGATTTAAAGATGGTAAGTTTGTAGTATGTTAGGTAATTCTTATTTAATAAATCACAATCAAAAATACCTACCTCATCCACCTATTAAAAGTAAGTAGTAATCGGTTGATGAGATAGACCGTACTTTCGGTTGTGATTTATTAAACAAATATTTATTTTTGTTTCAGCGAATGATAAAGATACATTTATAACAAAAAATAAAGTAATTCATTGTGAAAATAATATGCCACAATATGATGTACCTGACTTAGACATAAATGCATCAAATTTCAAGCTCCAATTGATTCACCAACTTGTGTTAGCCAAACTATGGATTCTGATATGACATTGGAAACAAAGTCAAAGTCATTGGCTTATGATAATGTACCGGAAATGAATACACATTATGATGCAGATTTTTCTCCAGACGACAGTGGAGAAGAATACCGTCCTGAAAAAGTTAAACGTACATATCCAGTAATAGGTAGAAGATCATCATCATCATCGAATTCTTCTTCTTCAAGTTCTTGCACATCATCGAGCTCTTCATCATCTAAGAACACTTCTACACAAAGTGTTGCAATTTTGTCGCAGAATCAACCTTTTATTTTAAACCAAGACAACAACATTTACCCTAACAATAGTATTCGAAATAATGAACCTCCTGACATTGATCAAAATCCAGAATCACCTAAGTAAATAAAAAAGGGTAAGAAATCCAGCGGCTTGGAGGAAAAATCAACGTGCTCAGCTGAAGAATTCAGGTCAGGAGTATATTTCTCGGACGGGCAAGATCATTCCTGCTAAAGAGATTAAGCCCCCGTGCTCTAACAAGTGCAAACATAAATGTTAAACAAACACATCTCAGAGGAGCAAAGATATGATATTTTCAAAATGTATTGGGATTTATCCTCTCTCCAAAGACAGCGTGATTTTTTGAATTCGACAATAACTGTGCTACAACTGGCACAACGTCGTTTGAAAACTGGTGTAGAAAAGAACAGAAAACCTAATACTTATTATTCCTTGATGTCTAATCGTAAGAGTTTCAGGGTATGCAAATTATTTTTTGTTGAATACATTGGGGATTTCCGAACGTACTTTACGTACCGTAATCGAGGCCAAGACAAATAATGAATCTAAAGGCGTAGCACCAATTGACAAACGCGGCTGCCGTAAAAACCATAGAAAAACTAGTTCTGAGGTACAAGAGTCTGTTCGGATTCATATAAATTCAATTAGTAGAATTGAAAGCCACTATCTACGTGCTAACACCAGTAGAGAATATATTGATGGTATCATAACAATAGCTGATCTGCATCGCGATTATAAGAGATTAAGAGAATCCGAAAACAAAGAGGCTGCAACTTACGATTCATACTTTCGCATATTTAATACGGAAATCAATATTTCTTTTTTTTTGTGCCAAAAAAAGACCAATGCGATGTCTGTGAATAATATAAAAATGCTGTTGGTGAGGAGAAAGAAAAACTAGAGGCTGACTACACAGAACATTGCCGGCAGAAAGTACTTAGTCGAATGGAAAAGAAGACTGATATAGAAATATGTAAGAATACAGATAGTAATGAAATAGTTGCAATTTATGATCTTCAAGCAGTCATGCCAGTGCCAGTCGGCAAGTCCTCGTCTTTTTACTATAAATCAAAATTAAACTGCTTTAACTTTACAGTATGTACCTATTATGGCTCAAAATATTATTTTATGCACTTTTTTATGAATAGTTTGATAACCGTCTTGTTTTATAGGTATCAGATGTAAAGGACCGACAAACCTATTGTTACTTTTGGCATGAGGCTATGGGAGGTAGAGGAGCAATTGAAATTGGTTCCTGTATCCTTAAATACCTGCAACGTGTCGCTAATAATCACCCTGGTTGTAACATCACATTTTATAGCGACAATTGTGGCGGGCAACAAAGAAAACAGGTTCATTTCATTTGTTAAGAACTTTTTTGTAGTTTTATGCAGTGTCTAATATTTTCTATATTTTTTTTTAGATTTATATTTTCCATGTACTTGTATGCAGTCAAAACTCTACCAATCAATAAAATCACACACAAATTTTTAATAAGGGGACATACCCAAAATGAGGGAGATACGGCCCACTCCATAATTGAAAAGGCAATAAAAAGAGCTAAAAAATCGGGCGCTATTTATGTACCAGATTAGTATGTACAAATAATAAGATCTGAAAAGATAAAACGTAACCAATTTATTGTTGAAGAACTGAATTTCGATGATTTTTATGATTTGAAAAAATTATCGGACGAAATCGACCTTAACACTGTCAAAGATGTAGAAGGAAACACCATAAAAACCTCAGATCTGAAAGCAATAGAATTTACAAAAAACAGTGATGCAGTATACAAGTACAAACTCAAATTTTACGATAACTGGAATGATGCTGAAATAAAAAAAAGAAACAAAGATCTACTAGTCAACGAATAACTAAGGCTATAGAAGATATCAATGTGGTTCCAGCGTATACTTCAAAAAGAGAAATTTCCGCAAACAAGATAAATGATTTAAAAGAATTGTTACAAAAAAACATAATTCCTCGGTAATAAGTATAAGTAGGTAATAAGTATTTTCTAAAGTTTTTTGTTTCTATTGTTTAAGTATTTTTACACTTACGCGCATACTAGCGCATATCACTTAGTTAAAAGTAGATAAGTAAATAATCTGTGATTTTGTGCCAATAAGACTTACAAATTGTGATCATAGTTAAGTATTAAGATGTTTCCCCTTTTAATCTTAAGTAAAGTGAGTCCTAGTGAACACAGGATATACCTACATGGATGTTTTCCTTAAGTTTATTTTTTTAAACATTCATAAATAAATGTTTACGTTGATTAATTAAATTATTTAGTTTTATTTTGTCGCAAATGCAAAATTTCCTAGCAGACGCGTTATTTTTTATATTGAATTCTGAAGCAACAGTGACGTATTTACAGGTACCTTCTTTTATTTAGGTTTATAATCTAGGTTATGTACAATGTACCGAGTAGATTGGGACTATAATAGAAACTACATATATTGCACTTACATTTAAAATCACGACGATTGTAATAAGTCCCTTCAAAATGTCATACCTTTAATAGAAATCTTTGATTGAATCTCCTGTAAAATTTCTAAAAGTGTAATTACGCCATTGTTGCACCAAATGAGCGATGTATGCGTAGGTGTATGGATGTGAAGGAGGCAAGAGAGGTGTGTCAGGATCGTGCCAAATGGAAGTCTGTAGTCTCTGCCTACCCCTCTGGGTGACAGGCGTGAGTGTTTATGTATATATATATATATATATATATATATATATATATATATATATATATATATATATATATATATATATATATATATATATATATATATATGTGTGTGTATATGTGTTATATATATATATATATATATATATATATATATATATATATTTATTTATTACCTCGTATCTTCCAAACGGCTGGATGGATTTCACCGAACCTATCGTATATCGAATATAAGTTGTATCTTTAAATGTAATTAGGAATAATAAATTGGTTTATAAAGTTTTGATAGCTGGTTTATAAAATGGGCAATGTTGTGCCGGACCTCGTGTTATTATATGAAAAAATATCATATTAAAACGGTATGCGATAACGATACAAATAAATTGTTTTCAATAAATTTTCAATCGTATACTTTCAATTTTTGAAGAAAAATTTAATAAATAAACACCGCTTATTTCAGGAAAAATACATCGACCTTTCTAAACTTTACACAGTAGAATTAGTTCGACACCACTAATATAGATGGCGTTGTATAGGTGATTTGATATTCTGAACCCGAATCGCGCTAGGGTTAGGTTCTTAAGTTATAGTATGTATCAGTTTTCGCTTAAACACAAGTAATGCATTATATCTATCAATATAGTACATAGTCTAACAATATCTTAAGGAGATATAGTAAGTCAGCTCAAATTGTAATTTCGCCCCCACTTGCCCGCGCGTCGTTCTATGTACCGACATGTTTGTAATCACCAATAGGTACTGTAAGTAGAAAGGTCGTTAGACACTTATTTCATTAGGTTTATCATATTTATGCCTGTTTCTTAACGCCAACCCAGTCGCTTCTTATTTTTATCACAGTTATTTCCCATTTAAATTTTACGTCGTCCTGTTGCGTAATGTGTATTCTGATCGTAAGCGACACAACTTCTCCCTTCAAAAGCCTAAGCGATACTAACGGGGCGACAGGAATCATGCTTCAAGACGCCGATAGTTTAGGAAATTTCTTTTTACAGTGAAAGTAATGGTATTTAAAAAAAGTAAATAACATAAGCACTGCTTCATAGCTAGCTCAGTTAGTATGCAAAGTTTCATAATCTTACTTAAAGTATTTTATGAATAACAGCGGTTTATTGTTCAGTTTGGAGGTAAATTTGGATTTTTTTTCTATCGAGAAAATTTTACGGAATCATGTTTTCATCTAACATAGTCCTTAACATTAATCCTCAACTTTACCATATATTTATTTCAAAATTAATGCTGCAATACTTTTGGCATAACGGAGGATCTTGCTAATCCATTTGAGGTTATATTTCCCCTTAATATATATAAATTACGTGTCACGTTGTTTGCCCGCGATGAACTACTAAACTACTTAAGCTTAACCGATTTTATTCAAATCTGCACACCGTGTGCAGTTGGGTCCACCTAAAGAGATAGTTTTTTTGCCGATGAGAGTCTCACAATTTATTTTTTTTGCGAATTTAAGTATTTTATTGGGACATGACAAAGGGTCATCAAAAAGGGCAGAACAACGTCCGCCTGGCAAGCTAGTAACATAACATAAACACTCACGCCTGTCACCCAGAGGGGTAGGCAGAGACTACAGACTTCCATTTGGCACGATCCTGACACACCTCTCTTGCCTCCTTCACATCCATACACCTACGCATACATGCTCGTTGGTTAAGGGTACTCCTAATTTGGCCCGTTTTCAATAAATCGCCAATTTGGTCGATAAATTTTCGCCTAGGGCTTCCCTTTCCGACTCTGCCATTCACTTCTGCACCATAAATTTTCTTTGTCACTCTTTCCTCATTCATTCTTTCCACATGACCAAACCACCGAAGCATTCCTTTCTTAATCCTGGTCACAACATCATCTTGCAAACCACACTCTTCTTTTATTACACAATTTCTTACCCTGTCATTCAGATTCAGCCCTAACATACTCCTTAACGACCGCATTTCTACTGCGTTTATTCTACTCTCATGCTTCTTCTGCCACACCCAACTTTCACTACCATACGTTAAAGTAGGGACCAACACAGCATTGTGAATTGCCATACGTGCCTTTTTCGACACATTTTGACTCTTCACAGTAGAGTGCAAGGCCCCATTTACTCTATTTCCCGCATTCACTCGTCGTTCTATATCCTTATCATATCTCCCATCCCTGCTAAATACGCAGCCCAAATAAACAAAGTCATATACTTGCTCGATCAACTCCCCTTCTATTCTTATTTCACAAATCGTTTTACTTTCTTCTCTTTCAAAAACCATAACCTTGGTCTTACTTGCGTTCACTTTCATACCCCTTTCTTTTAATGATCCGTTCATTAATGTAACCATCATTTGCAACTCGGCCGCCGACGACGCAAGAATAACTTGATCATCGGCGTACAAAAGTTAGCTCA